GTTTCTGGGGGGGGGGGGGAGGGGATGTGTATTCAAGCTAGAGGGAGGAAGAGTGCCTGTCATTTGTAATTGAGGGATTTAAAAATGTCACTTTAATTTTAGATGAAGTAGGTATGGGCGATGGAGTTACTCGAGACTTCTACTCCTATCTCTGCAAAGTATTACGAGGCAAAGCAAACCACATGTGGCTGGATGATGAACCGAACGATCAGGGGGAATTCGTAAATACACAAGTCGGTTTATTCCCAACCCCGTATCCACGCAACTCCATTCCACTTACAATTCTTCGTCGTTTCTACACAATGGGACTTGCTGTTGGAAAAGCTCTCCAGGTGGGCCTAATTTTTACCGGTTAAGAAATAAGCATCTCGCTTGCACTTTGACCTCCTTTTCAAGTTTTTTTACTTTGTAGGAAAATCATCTATTGGGTCTTCACTTATCTCAACCGTTTCTCAAGATTCTCTGTGCATATTCGAAAGCGAGCCACTCCATTAACACTGAAAATCCCCTGAGCCATGCGGAGAATGCAAGAGATAGGGCCCTGAGTCATGAAGATTTCTGGATTTTTGGCAATCGCAAATGCAGCAGAGAGACTTCTCCACATTGGCTAACTGGGGTCCTTGGATTTGATGATTTCCGCAAGCTTTATCCATTTCATGCCTCCACATTTGAAAGACTCTTGCGTCTAGCTAGAGTTCACGAAGCCATAAGGAGGGATTGTAAGAACAAAGAAATGTTAGAAGACAAGCTGAATGAAGCTAGTTTGAAGCACATAGAAAGAACTATTGGGAATTTGGGTCTCTCGATGGAATTTATGTGCACAACATCAGTGAGTGCGCTAATTACTTTCAGTTGTATAAGAAGATAGGTACACGTTCACATGGTATACTTTTTTGCATCCAGGAATCGTGCAAGATCGTGAAGTTGCAAGACGTATATCCGTGGGAGAAAAATAACACTTGCACTGCCGATAGGGAAGCTCCTGAATCTGAGCCAGTCGACAATAGTAATTACGTAGACTACATCCGTCGAACCGTGGAGTACTGTTTGAACAAGGGTATTCAAGCCCAAATAGATGCCTTTACACGTGAGCTTTTGACTGTCAAAGTATCATACTGACAGGTGGATAAAAAATTACCGTTTCGTTTTCTTTTGACCTTAATATTAGGTGGCTTTAATCTCGTATTTCCCATTGAATGGTTGTCCATCTTCACAAGTTCTGAACTTAGTAGCCTACTCTGCGGTGATTTGATTGACACACCATGGGAGATGGAAGACTTAGCTGAGAGCATAACAACTAGAGATCCAATGATCAAATCATCACCCATGTTCAGGTATCTTCTGGAAGTTTTGATCAGTCTCGATGCTGAACAGCGTCGCAATTTCCTGCGCTGGGTCACTGGGTATTCAGCCCTGCCGTCTGGAGGGCTAAAAAGCCTTAAGCCCCCTTTGACGGTATCCATCATTGAATGGGGTCCTTATCCCAAAGTACAATCATGTTTCCATGCACTGCAATTGCCAGAATATCCTTCAGCCGCGGAATTGCGTCACCACCTTCTTATTGCAATTAGTCAAGAGTCGTTTGATATTGTGTAGAAATGTCATGAATGCCACTTTAACAGTAATACAACCACGACAACAACTTTTTGATATAAATTAAATCCCATGATAGCAGACCCCCATCAATTTATATCTTAAGTGTTAATTAATGTGATAATGTAGCAAGCTGCCTTAAAGTAAATCTCTAAATGAAATGGTCCTATCGTTTTGTAATGTCTTTCTTATTATACATTCTAGAATTAGAAAAATCTCATTGTTCTATTTTATTAAAATATGATCTCCACAAAATGTACAATTATTGGTACAAGTAAACTCACCGTATCCGTAGATATCTCCGGTGAGGCAAGATTTTTTAATTGATGGCGCGCTGATAAAATTTACATGGTAAATTTTAAACGAAAATAAGTTCTGACATGTCATTGTTTTTTTATCCGGGCATATTTCAATGGATACATTAAAAGATTATCTTCAATAAATGTAGATTCCTATTGGTTATCTGAAGTCAACTGTACAATAGAGGACTATATTCACATTGTTCAAACAACACTCTTAAATTTAGCTTATTGCGCGGGATCTTCCTTCTGCCTTATAAAACTAAAAGGGTCATTTCAGTGCCTATATAGCGCATAAAAGTTAATTATTATCAAAATTGGAGTAATAACACCTCTGTTTTGGGAACACCAATGTCTCAGAGGAAAATTGCATATAAGTGGACACTGGTTCGAGAGTGCCACACGTATGGATATACTAGCCTGTCATTGTTCACCACTTGGGGTGTGCGATAGACTTACCTCCACGTGGTGCACCCTGGGCAACGTATACTCATGCGGCAAAAAAGTCTATTAATCGGCAGTTGACTTCTCACTTCAAACAACCATCACCCCCCCTCCCCCTGTATGTCATATTCGACCCCTACCACTACTCATCTTACCCTTTCTGAGCCTTTGTGTCTGTTTCTTTTATATCTTTGAAACACCCTCCTATTCCCCCTCCTGAATTCTTCTCACTTTGATGTTCCTCCTCCCCTCTGTGAAGCCAGAAGTCAACTAAAGGGCTAATGATAACTATCAAAACGCCTGCCATTTGTTATAAATATATAAATAAATTGTTTACCACTTTATCGACAGATAGCCAAAAATCAGATCAATGCCTCAACTTTTTAAGGCTTCTTATAAAACCAGTTTGGATTGAGTTAGAGTTTATTCTGGGGAGGCAGTCCAACTACGTGCTTCATCGAATGTTTTTCGTTCATTTCTTACCTATATTCTGCTCTAGGATTTTCGTGTTTATTGATTTTATCGATTAATTCCAACCACCCCACCCCGTATTTATATTTCTTCTAGTAAGCAAAGGGAAGTCTATTTTTGGCCGCAATTTTTGAAAATCTGACAGCTTAGTAAAGGCATTTAAGAGACTACAAATCTCATCTCTTATTTCTAATAAAAAATAAGAGATGTATTCATGTATTCAACACTGAATGATGTGCAAAATATAAAATAATTAAGTGTATCAGTAAATACGTTGGCATTTAAGTTTAATTTTCATCTTTTTTTATTAAATCATCTTTCCAAAAAAACAAGAGAAAGACGAATAAGTTCAGAAAAAAGTTGAAAATTTTTAATGACTAGTTGTTGATAACTCATAATGTTCAAAATTAAATCAAAAGGAATTGTAGAAAGTGGGTGGGTGGATAAAATCTGAAAATATTTCCTTTTTCAATACCTTTTCTTAAGTGTTTGCAAGCATGTGAATGGCAAGCCATATTGTGTGGCATTAGGCGATGTTTTGGAATGATTTGGTTCATGGGATTATTGAGTTTCATGACTTTACTGCTCTGTTCAAATCGATACGTTAGAGTGGCTTTCGTAAAACCTCTTCAAATTATTTCCTGCTTAATTCGACTCTAACTTAGAGCTTAATCACTCTCCCCTATTATCTACTTAAATAAACTATAAATTGATCAATTAAAGTCCTTTTGTTAAAATATTTGCATCAGAAATACTAAGCAGAATCAGGAAGTCGCCAACAATTCGTTGACCCATAGATTACAATTTTTGTTTAATATATCCATCTAAAATTAGCACTTTAAAGAGGGAAATTATTTTTTCGAATGTTTAAACCAATTCTTATCAACAATGTTCTTGACATTATTGAATAATTAAGAGGCAAAGAGACAATATGGCCTCATTCAGACAAAATGGGGATTCAACGTAGACAATAGCAGAATTTCTCAAAGTATTACGTTTATCTACCTTCTGCAAATAGTGAAAAATGGGGTAATGACACCGAAAAGGAACGATGATTTTATGCAAATGAATAACTCTAGGTTTATGGGAGCGTCCTTTCGAAAACTGCCAGAAATTTAACAGCTACATTCAGATTTTGACTATAAAATAATTTTCAAGTCATAATGCTCTAAATGTTTGTTTTGTTGATAATGTAAAATTAAATATATATATGATTTTGGTAATTATTTATATTAAATGGAAGGCTTTATAATAGTTGCCATTAGTCCCCAAGTTGACATCAAAGTCACAAAAAATCGAGAGAGGGAACAGAAGAGTGCTTCACAGATGTAAAAGGGACAGACAGACAGATACAAAGTTGGAGAAAAAGGTTACCTAAGGTGAGTACTGTGAAAGTGATGGAATATGACACACTGTCGGGTCATGGGGGTTTGAAGTCAGAAGCCAACAGTCGGTTTATTGACACCTTGTCGTATGAGTAAACGTTGTCCAGGGTGCACCACATGGAGGTGAATCTATCGCTTACCCCTCACTTACAATTATAAATACGTTGATAATAGCGAACGGTCAGGAAATGTTCCTCCCCTCAGTGAAGTCCAAAGTCAACTTAAAGGGCTAATGATAACTATCGTAACGCCTACCAGTTGAAATAAATAAATAAATATTTCAAGCCTCTTGTCATTCATTTCCGCGACCTTGATTAAAGAGATTTTTATTTAATAATTTCACGAGTTCCTGGTTTCGAGTTAATTTCCAAAGAGATCGTAGGTTAAAAATCAGTGGCTCATTGTGAAAACAAAAGAAATCTATTGTGCTTTTGACGCGTTGGAGAGATTTCAAAGTTACCTTTCAGCCATTTCAGTCATGGTGCCAAAGTATATGCAAAAACTTTAGTCGTCAGATCGGAAAACAGTGTGCTAAGTTATTCCAAGAAAACCGAAAATCAAAACTGCTAAATGAACAAAATTAAGGCGCTCTCTTAAATGAATGTTAACCATTCCTCGAAATTCTATTACACGGGATGTTTCAACAGACAGTCTTTGTGGTGCTGTAGGTTGTAAGAACGCACGCTAGTTTTTGAGAATTCAACAGGCTATTATTACATTACTTCAGTTATATAGTTGAATGAAACTGTTTTATGTTTGTAGCATATTTAAGTTACACTTATTTAAATGCTTTGAAAATAAATTAAACATATTCTGAAATGCGGCAATAGTAAGCGCCAATTGAGAAGGGTATTCAAATTTAAAAGTAAATGCTAAAATATTTACTTCTTTTCCAAAACCTTCGTTGTCTGAAAGTAGGCAATTAATGATTGGTTCATTGCAAATTGCAATGAAATATAGCCTTCATCTACCATTGCGGTTTAAGAATCACGAGAGATTTTCAGCTTAATTTTTTTCTCCCCAACTTTCTTTATTATTATTATTATTATTATTATTATTATTCTTTTATTATATTAAAATTTTTAATGTTCAATGCATATTGCAGCATTTAGATTGTTTGTACCATCTCGTGATTTTCTGAGGGACTTCTTATTCGTTTATTACTCTACGAATTGGATGTTTTGTCAATTTTCTTCAGGCATTAATTTGATAAGTGCTAAGACAATAACGGAGTTGACAAGAGGAGAGTGTGCGACACGTTATCGCTGTGTGCGTCATCGTATGCCTGCATGTCTGCTCGCTAGGATTGGGAGGTGCGCCGTACAACTCTGTGTGTAGCGACCGTACAAACAGTGACCAATCATCAACCTCTGTTTAACCTAATCCCTCATCCTGATCATGATTAGGCCCCCTACGTGTACACTTGATCCGCAAGATACTCACTGAATAAACGTGCTCCGTGCTACACGTCTGCTTCCTTTATAGTTGGGCTATAGTTTAGCTGGTTCTGGGAGTCTAGCTAGATGTAGGAGAATCTGCCACAGAGATTTCTGAGTCGGTCAGGCTTTAATAAAGTAGCAATCTGCTACAAGAGCAATTAAGTTAATTTGAAAGTACTAGTTCTTTCATTTGTTTTATCATTAAAAAATATGATTTGTTGTGAAAGGAAGAGCCAGTTTTTCACTATCTTTGAAATGAAACTATTTAATTTCCTCACTCTTTGTTGTGAGAAGGAACAAAAATGCAAGTAAATCAAGTGACCAGCAGTCACAAATGTTGTGGGGGGGGGAGGTTATGAACTCACCCAATTACAACTTCATCAAATCATGAAAATTGACGCTTTGACAGTGTGTACAGTGTGTACAATTCCTTATTTATTTTAACATCCCGATAACACTGTTCAACCCTATTCCACCTTCGTTCTTCCTCTATTTTGCTAATTAAAATATTGCACGATTAAAATTTGCTAAAACAATTTGTGGCAGTAATTATTTTCTAGGTTTTATTGAATCATTTGCTTATTGAAAACAGGAGATAAGAAATTCGCACCGGATAAATGGGTGTCTGGTATTTAGGACAACAAAATGATTATAACAATAGTTCGCTAATATGCACACCAAAGAATTCTTTCGGATAATAAATTAATTTGCTTAATTATCTTTCTATAATTCATTTTTGATTAACTAAAGATCGGAATTCTATTCCTAATTTCCTTTTACATTTTTTTTCTGTTTTCTTAATTAGACCTAATTGAGGATTTTTGGAGCCTAAAATTTACCATTTAAACCGCCAGTATTCTTTCAAATTGCCCAGTGACTTAAATGGCCCTCAGTTGACCCTTCCCTCTCAACTAGTTGATTTTATACACGAGTTCCTAGTTGTTTCATGAATTAATTAATGCCAA